TGGCCAGGGGAGCATTGGGGAGACGAAGGAAAGCTGTCGGTGGGTGCCACAGTGCCTATGGGCGCCACATTGGGAACCCCCGGGCATGACTGCCGAGGATCTGATCCCAAAAGAAGTGTCATAAGAACATAAGATGTGTGATATTTCTTCATGTCTTGCAGCTCTCAGACATCGTACATTTATTCTGTTTGGCTGTTACGCTAAGCAAATTTGGCCACCCCTGGCATAGACGGAGCCACATAGATCGAATTCCTTAACCACTCCTCTAAAAGCAAACCTGCTCCCCCAAGCACCAAGAATACAGAGCATCCCTTGCCCCAGCCTGAGAGTTCCTATGTATACCTTGTGGCTCATAGCCACCAATGGACCTCTGCTCCGTATAAGAACATGAGAAGCCAATGTTGAACATAAGAACATAAGAACATAAGAGACGCCAATGTTGGATCAGGCCAAAGGCCCATCCAGTCCAACACTCTGTGTCACACAGTGGCCAGAAATACCAGTGCCATCAGGAGGTCCAGCAGTGGGGCCAGGACATTAGAAGCCCTCCCACTGTTGACCCCCCCCCCAAGCACCAAGAAGACAGAGCATCACTTGCCCCAGAGCCCCTAGCTATACCTTGTGGCTAATAGCCACTGATGGACCTCTGCTCCATATGCTTATCTAATTCCCTTTTGAAGCCGTCCATGCTTGTAGCACCCACCACTTCCTGTGGCAGTGAATTCCATGTGTTAATCACTCTTTGGGTGAAGAAAGACTTCCTTTTATCCGTTCTAACCCGACCGCTCTGCAGTTTCATGGAGTCTAATTTAATGTTGGATCAGGCCAATGGCCCATCCAGTCCAACACTCTGTCACACAGTGGCCAGAAATACCAGGTGCCATCAGGAGGTCCACCAGTGGGGCCAGGACATTAGAAACCCTCCCACTGTTGACCCCCCCCCCCATCACTTGCCCCAGCCTGAGAGTTCCTATCTATACCTTGTGGCTAATAGACACTGATGGACCTCTGCTCTGTATGCTTATCTAATTCCCTTTTGCTTGGAGCTGCCACCACTTCCTGTGGCAGTGAATTCCATGTGTTAATCACTCTCTGGGTGAAGAAGGACTTCCTTTTATCCGTTCTAACCTGACCGCTCAGCAATTTCATGGAGTGCCCACGAGTTCTTGTATTGTGAGAAAGGGAGAAAAGTTCGTCCAAATCAGAGTGGGCATATTCTTTCACCTCTGTTAGGGCTTGCTGGTATGATAGAACAGAGTCAAACTGCGGTTCCTGAACACGCGTGGTTCTTTAAGAACCTACGTACAATGCCCCCTCTAAACTGTGGAGTCTTGTGAGCAAAAATTCTACTTTGTGAGCCACTGGCATTAAAGTTGTGAGCGAGTGATTTGGCTGCTGCATAAATTAGTTTGCCCTGGAGCCATCCTTCCTGAGCCGAGACAAAAATGTGTGACCCGAAGGCTAAAAAACTGCGAGCTAGCTCACACTAACTCAGCTTAGAGGGAATACTGCCCACGTACCTCTTTCACCAACAGATGGAGGCCTTCGGGCTGGCTGCTCTGGATTATTTCCAAGAGAATCGGCGCAAACGTGGCGCTCAAGCCGCTGACCTGGGGTTGGGGTGGAGAAAACTGAGTGAAATCGTTGTAGGTTAAAATTGTGGTGGAAAAAGAAAAAAAAAAAAAGGCAAAGAAGTGAGCCATGAGTCACAAAGGATTTTCAACAGACTCGCTGCTGTGGCAAATCTTCACCTCAGAATAGCCAATGGATATTTTTACTGTGCTCCCCCCCATAGTTCCCTCTGAGGTGGGGGCTATATATATATAAAAAGTCTTCCTTTTAGGTTTGAGAAGGGAAATAATAACCAATGGGACCGCTTAATAACATAAGATCCTAACAGAAGCCAATGTTGGATCAGGCCAGTGGCTCATCCGGTCCAACGCTCTGTCACACGGTGGCCAAAAATACCAGGTGCCATCAGGAGGTCCAGCGGTGAGGCCAGGACACTAGGAGCCCTCCCACTCTCCACCCCCCAAGCACCAAGAATACAGAGCATCCCTTGCCCCAGACATAAGAACATAAGAGAAGCCAATGTTGGATCAGGCCCAACACTCTGTCACACAGTGGCCAGAAATACCAGGGGCCATCAGGAGGTCCACCACTGGGGCCGGGACACTAGAAGCCTCCCACTGCCCCCCCCCCAAAGCACCAAGAAGACAGAGCATCCCTTGCCCCAGAGCCCCTATCTATACCTTGTGGCTAATAGCCACTGATGGACCTCTGCTCCATATGCTTATCCAATTCCCTCTTGAAGCCGTCCATGCTTGTAGCCACCGCCACCTCCTGTGGCAGTGAATTCCTCCATTATACCCCTGGGAGAGCATTACGCTCGTCACAGAACAACTTTCTGGTTATCCCCGGTCATAGAGAGGTCCGGCCGTCCTCAACCAGCCTTTTCGGTCTTGGCCCCGGCCTGGTGGAACTCTCTGCTGAATAACATCAGGGCCCTGCGGGATCTTATGCGGTTCCGCAGGGCCTGTAAGGCGGAGATGTTCCGCCAGACGTTCGGTTGAGGACAGCGATGGTCGACATCGTGGCTGGCACCCTACCTCGGCCCTGGTTCCTTGTGGAGCCTACCCCACTAACACCGGTGCGTGCGAAGCACTCACAGACAGACCCGATGGGAGGGAGCTGCAAAGATTTTCGCCACTTGCTTTTAATTGCTGTATAATGCTGGGTATGGTTTTTATATGTTTTTATGGTTTTAGAATGTTGTATAGTGACTACTGAGGAAGGCCCTTTGAGGCCGAAACACGTTTGGTCTTCAGTTGTGTTAACCCATCATGTGTATTAATATTTGATATGCTTTTATTCGTCTGATACTTGAAATTTTTTTTAACCTGAATATATTTTAATATGTGTACACCCTAATAAATTTTGTATTTTTATAATTTAGAATGTTGTACATCGCCTAAGGCCCCGGCGGTCATGGGGAATAGGCAATAAATAAATAGGCAATAAATAAATAAATAAATAAAGTTCCCTGGATTAAGCAAGCCTTAACAAATGGGGAAGAATAAGGGACACTGTGCCTTGGTGGAGGAGAGGGTGAGACATGATTCATTGGGTGGCTTAAATTTCCATTCTTTTGACTTCTTCAGGCAGTGCTTGAGTTGGGCTCATTGTCTCCCAAAGGGAGTTGGAAAGAGAGAGTCTGCCTGAGATCTGCCAAGCAGTACTACTTCATTTGTCACTGCCTCGGAAGCTGGAGGCTCTACTCTTGAACACAGGTTGAAGGTTTTATTTATTTATTTATTTATTTATTTATGAAATTTATACCCCACCCTCCCCCGCAAGGCTCAGGGCGGCTTACATGGCAAGGAATCTTGCAGTAATAAAACATCCAATACATTTGATAACATTTAAAAACATTATTATACAATTTAAAAACCTATCTCGATACAACTCAGTAAAGTGCTCGAAGTCCTCAGTTCCTGAACCTCAGAGAGATGGCAGCCACATTCATACATTCCCGGTAGGCATTCAGGGTTCAATGTTAGATGTTAAATTCAGATGTTCCTTCTTCTTGGACCTTTCTTGGGCCTGGTGGAAGAGCTCCGTCTTGCAGGCCCTGCGGAACTGCATCAGGTCCCGCAGGGCCCGGATCTCCTCCGGGAGCTCGTTCCACCAGGTGGGGGCCGCCACCGAAAAAGCCCTGGCCCTCGTAATGGCCAGTTTTGCATCTTTGGGGCCCGGCACAGTTAGTAAATTTTGGGCCCCAGACCGTAGTGCTCTTGGGGGAACATACGGGGAAAGGTGGTCCCTCAGGTAGGCTGGACCCAGACCATATATTTTATATTTTATTTTATTTTTTTATAATAACTTTTATTTCGTTTACAGGTTTACATTTATACATTTCATCTATACTTCATACATATATCTCAGAGTCATTCATCGCTCATTTCTTGTATACATTGTTAATTCACTATTCACTTGACAATTCACCTATCCATTTATACAGCTTTTCCCATCTCTTTTCATGTACCTTCTCATTCCTGTTCTGCATCTTTAAACTCAAGTCGTCCATTCTTGCTAACTCCAGTATTTTGGCTGCTAACTCTTCCCTTTTGGGTATTACATCGGATTTCCAATTTTTAGCCAACAGTAATCTAGCAGCTGTTATTATATATCCTAATACATATGTTTCCTGCTTATTATAACCTTTCGGGATCATATTTAACAGATATATGAAAGTTTTATATTTTAAAAGGTCAACTATGACAACAATAATTTCAAGATTTAGCCACAAGGTATAGATAGGGACTCTGGGGCAGGTGATGCTCTGTCTTCTTGGTGCTTGGGGGGTGGGGGCAACAGTGGGAGGGCTTCTAATGTCCTGGCCCCATTGGTGGACCTCCTGATGGCACCTGGTATTTCTGGCCACTGTGTGACACAGAGTGTTGGACTGGATGGGCCATTGGCCTGATCCAACATTGGCTTCTCTTATGTTCTTATGTTCTTAAGACTATTTCTTGGGCTACAGCTACACCATACTATCACTTTACTCCTGTGTCTGCTGCTGCTGGCGATCTGGTATTAAACTTGTTTTGCAGAACTGGTGACAAAGCTGGACTGTTAAAGGGTCTTTCTGCGAGCCCAGCATGTGGCCCGCGACCGCCCCCCACCCTCCCGCCTGCTAGATTTAGAAGAAGAAGAGGAGATTGGATTTATTTCCCGCCCTTCACTACCCAAAGGTGTCTCAGAGCGGCTTACAAACTCCTCTCCCTTCCCCTCCCCACATCAGACACCCTGTGAGGTAGGTGAGGCTGAGAGAGCTCTCTCAAGAACTGCCCTTACCTGGACAGCTCTGAGAGAACTATGGCTTGCCCAAGGTCATCCAACAGCTGCAAGTGGAGGTTCTCCCAGATTAGAGTCCGCACACTTAACCACTACACCAAACTGGCCACATGGTCCCCGCCGATCAGCTGGAGGGCCCTTTTAATGTCACAGGATGGGAGGGAGGAGGTGGCTGGGCGGGCAGTCATGCTTGGGGGCGCGGACCCCAAAACCGGGGGAACCCCCGCCCAGATCTGGGGGCTGGCTACCCTATTGTACCCCCTCCCAGCCCATGGGGCCTTGCAGTGCGGATACACCAACTCAGAGCTTACAAGCTGATGTCCTTTATATAGTTTCTATCTCCGGTACCTGGCCTTACGTTGTATGGCACACATGGCCCCGCCCCACAAAGTGACATTTACACCAGATCCGGCCCTTGTGACACATGAGTTCGACACCTCTGCCTTAGGTCCTGGGGAAAGGGCTCTTTGGCTGACTCCCGCCAGATGTGGCTTGTGCGTGATTAAGGGGAGGAGGTCCTTCACATTCCTAGCATGCCCCCAGCGTGACTCACTGTCATCAGTTTGGTCCAGATTCCGTTTTTTCATTGGGAGCCCCATGCTAAGATGTGCAAGTGTACAGGGATCCAACATGGAGGTCCCCTTTTTTTGGGGGGTGTCCCGTGGCATCACAGCAGCCCCGTAGCCACGGTGGGGCATTTAGGGGCACTGCCCCCTCACTCGTGGCCCCCTCTCATTGTGCGAGCTGTGCCAGCAGGTAAGGAAAGACTCTTCTTTCCAGTTTGGTGTTGTGGTTAAGTGTGCAGACTCGAATCTGGGAGAACCGGGTTTGATTCCCCACTCCTCCACTTGCACCTGCTGGATGACCTTGGGAAAGCCGTAGTTCTGATAAGAGCTGTTCTTGAAAAAAAAGAGCAGTTTCTGTCAGAGCTCTCTCAGCCCCACCTGCCTCACAGGTTGTCTGTTGTGGGGAGGGGAAGGGAAAGGAGTTTGTAAGCCGCTCTGAGACTCCATCGGGGAGTGAAGGGTGGGGTATAAATCCTTCTCCTTCTTCTTTTACCTCACAGGGTGTCTGTTGTGGGGAGGGGAAGGGAAAGGAGTTTGTAAGCCGCTCTGAGACCCCTTTGGGTAGTGAAGGGCGGGGTATAAATCCAATCTCTTCCTCTTCTTCTTTTACCTCACAGGTTGTCTGTTGTGAAGAGGGGAAGGGAGAGGAGTTTGTAAGCCACTCTGAGACTCCTTCAGGTAGTGAAGGGCAGGGTATAAATCCAATCTCTTATTCTTTTCTTCTTCTTCTCTTCTTCACCTGCCTGCCACTGGGATCTTTCTCTCTCTCTCTCTCTTCCCCATCCCCCCAGATTTCCCAATGCCCCACCACCCAAAATTTTCTGGCTACGACCCTGCATCACAGGGTCCCTCTGCAAAGGCAGGCAGGACCTTCCTGGGTTTGGATAGTTACAAGACAGGTGTGGACAATCACCCCCTCATCAGAGGACAAATGCAAAGAAAACAGTCGTGAGAGTCTGACCCACAGATCAAGCAGTCAGCAAGACTTGCAAAGAAGATGCTTTCTGTATATTATGGTCGACAAGCACTACAACTCAAAAAACAAATTCCTTAAAATCATAAGAAAATCCTAGGGTAAAAATAGGTCATCAACGTCGTCTCCGGATTATAGAACAACGTCTCAGAATTGGATCTTCCTCAGGAAATATTCTGTAGTGTACAAAAATACAGTTCTTTAGAATACGCAGGGCTATTTTGGGCAGGAACGCACAGGAACGGAGTTCCGGCTGGCTCCTAAGTTGGCCACACCCAGCAGGAACTCATTAGCATAATAGGCCACACCCAACAGCAGAAACTCATTAGGATTGGCTACATTAGGGGTGTGTGGCCTAACATGCAAAGGAGTTCCTGCTCCAAAAAAAGGCCCTGGGTTTTGACAACAAACAAGGTAAACAGAATAAGAAGCAAAAGGGGTGTGTGGCTGGATGACCACACTTCTGGTAACATGGGGGTGCGGCCTAATATGCTAATGTGCTGTGCTGTCAAGGGTGTGGCCTAATATGCTAATGAGTGTCTGCTGTTGGGTGTGGCCTATTATGCTAATGAGTTCCTGCGGGGCTTTTTCTACAAAAAGAGCCCTGAGAATACGTATAATGTGAACAATGAAAAACAGTATAAAGTCCAAATACAGTCTTACTTACGAAAGCTCTCTCGCTCATAAAGCGCTGTACAAAAAAAGTCATGAAAGATCTGCAATATAATAATATTCCTCTTATGACTGCTCTCTTTACATTTGTTCTCTGGGTTTGGATAGTGCCACAGACCTGTAGCTCGCTGGGGTACCTCGGGTCAATTGACCTCCCAGCCTCACTGCTGGGCCCCAGTGACGAGGCAAGGACCTGGACTTGAAGGACCTTTCGGGCTCCAGGATGCCCCCGTCGTATTTCAGAAACAAGACAGCTCTTACCTGAACGACCCGCTGGTGGGACGTAAGGACGGCGTCCACGTACATCTTGGTTCCCTTCTCCTGCATCAGCATCACCTCCATGGTTTTGGTGGGCATGGCGTAGCTATGGAAACAACAGGTAAGTAAGCCACTGGTATTCCAGGGAAAGGCGGCGGCGGGGGGGGGGACTTGTTTATTACAATTCCGCAGGGCCTGCAAGACAGAGCTCTTCCCCCAGGCATTCGAGTGAGAATTTAAATTTAAAACAGGGATTTAACTTAATTTAAAATCAGAGTCTTACCCTGGAATTTCTACCACCGGCTGTTACCATTACTAACTGACACCCGTTATGGATAAGACTCGGAAATTGTTGTTTCACTTTCTGATATGCAGTATCTATGTACAGCACTTTAGAATTGTTTGTGGGGAGAGAAAGACAAGGAGGTTGTAAGCCGCTCTGAGATTCCGGGTGAAGGGTGGGGGTATAAATCCAACCCTCTTCTCTCTCTCTTTTCAGGTTCAAACCTCGGCTTCTCCATTTAAATGGTCCAGGTCATAGGTGATGTGAAAGACCTCTGACTGAGACCCACTACCAGTCTGAGTAGATAATCCTGACCATGATGGACCAAGGAATCTGATTCAGTATAAGGCAGCTTCATATGTTCAGGCTGGTAAAACCCTGGCAAATGGAGGACGAGAAGGAGGAGGAGAGATTGGATTTATAGCCCACCCTTCACTCGGAGTCTCAGAGCGGCTTAAAAAACCCTTCTCCTCCCCACAACAGTGGGGTAGGTGGGGCTGAGAGAGCTCTCTCGAGGACTGCCCTTGAGAGAACAGCTCTGAGAGGAGGAGGAGGAAGAGACTGGATATATACCCTGCCCTTCACTCGGAGTCTCAGAGCGGCTTACAATCTCCTTCCCCTCCCCACAACGGACACCCTGTGAGGTAGGCGGGGCTGAGAGAGCTCTAGCGAGGACTGCTCCTGAGGGAAGAGCTCTGAGAGAACTTGTAACTGACCCAAGGTCACACCAGCAGCTGCAAGTGGAGGAGTGGGGGAATCAAAGCCGGTTCTCCCGGATTAGAGTCCGCGCTCTTAACCACGACACCAAACTAGCTCTCCTTCTAAAGTGGCACAGCAGTGGCCCTGACAGCTCATACTAGCCTGATCTCTTCTGAGCTTCAAAGCTAAGCAGAGTCAGTACTCAGATGGGAGACCACTGAAGAAGTCCAGGGTTTCTACGCAGAGGAAGACAATGGTCAACCACCCATGTATGTCCTTTACCCTCACCTGGATGGCCCAGGCTGGCCCGATCTTGTCAGAGATGGGAAGCTAAGAAGTATCAGCCCTAGTTAGTCCTTGGATGGGAGACCACCAAGGAAGTCCAGGGTTGCCACGCAGAGGCAGGCAATGGTAAACCACCTCTGTGTGTCTTTCACCCTGACCTGGATGACTCAGGCTGGTCTAGTCTCATCAGATCTCAGAAGCTAAGCGGGATTGGCTCAGGTTGGTACTTGGATGGGAGACCACCCAGGAAGTCCAGGGTTGCTACGCAGAGGCAGGCAATGGCAAACCGCCTCTGTATGTCATCTGCCCTGACCTGGATGGCCCAGGCTAGCCCGATCTCATCAGAACTCGGAAGCTAAGCAGGGTCGACTCTGGTCGGTATTTGGATGGGAGACCACCAAGGAAGTCCAGTGTTGCTACGCAGAGGCAGGCAATGGCAAATCCACCTCTGTATGTCTTTTGCCCTGTCCTGGGTGCCCAGGATGGCCCGATCTTGCCAGAGCTCCAAAGCTAGGCCTTTATGAACCTGCCCGACCACTATGGTCACCTTTGGAGGCCTGCTTCGGGTCCCCCCCTCCTTCTGAGATTAAGGGGGCTCCAACCTGGGAGAGGGCCCCACGTGCAGGGAAGGGCGGGATCAAAATCGAACAAATAAATAAATAAGCAGGGTCGGCCCTGGTTAGTACTAGGATGGGAGACCAACAAGGAAGTCCGTGGGTTGCTACGCAGAGGAAGGCAATGCCAAATCACCTTTGTTGTGTCTCTTGCCTTGACCTGGATGACCCAGGCTAGCCTGATCTCGTCAGATCTTGGAAGCAAATCCGGGTCGGCCCTGGTTAGTCCTTGGATAGGAGACCACCAAGGAAGTCCAAGGTTGCTATGCAGAGGTAGGCAATGGGAACCCGCCTCTGTATGTCATTTGCGCTGACCTGGATGGCCCAGGCTGGCCCGATCGCATCAGATCTGGAAAGCTAAGCAGGGTCAGCCCTGGTTAGTCCTGGGATGGGAGACCACCAAGGAAGTCCAGGGTTGCTACGCAGAGGCAGGCAATGGCAAATCCACCTCTGTATGTCATTTGCCCTGACCTGGATGGCCCAGGCTGTCCAGATCTCATCAGATCTGGAAAGCTAAGCAAGGTCGGCTCTGGTTAGTCCTTGGATGGGGAGACCACCAAGGAAGTCCAGGGTTGCTACGCAGAGGCAAGCAATGGTAGACCACCTCTGTATGCCTTTTGCCCTGACCTAGATGGCCCAGGCTGGCCAGATCTCATCAGATCTGGAAAGCTAAGCAGGGTCAGCTCTGGTTAGTCCTTGGATGGGGAGACCACCAAGGAAGTCCAGGGTTGCTACGCAGAGGCAGGCAATGGCAATCCACCTCTGTATGCCTTTTGCCCTGACCTAGATGGCCCAGGCTGGCCAGATCGCATCAGAGCTGGAAAGCTAAGCAAGGTCGGCTCTGGTTAGTACTTGGATGGGGAGACCACCAAGGAAGTCCAGGGTTGCTACGCAGAGGCAGGCGACGGCGGACCCCTTCTGCTCCTCTCTCGCCTTGAACACCGTGAGTCGGCTGTGACTCGATGGCACACTTTACCTTTTCAAAGCACCACAGGAGCAGAGGATGGCACGTGCCATTCTAGTGGAACGGGTGGACAGCCCCCCCTCCCCGCATCCTTCTTCTCCTGACTTCTTCCCGCACTTTTGTAAGCCTCAATTCATTCCAACCCATCTCTATGAGACGGCCCCGTCCTATTTTTAGAAGGCTTCGTGTTGAAGTGGAACAAAGCGAGGCTGCTGTTCTGCCGGAGCTGGCTTCGGTGGTGCCCCTGAAATTTCCAGAGCGCCAAGAAGAGGAAATAAAGATCTTTTTTTTACAATAAGTGAATACAGATCTCGGCTGCTGCCGGGAGGGAGAGAGATCTATCTACACAATGGATGGACGTGAGGAATTTTTTTTTTTTTAACTTGGACGTGCAAGCTGTACACATATATACAGTCCTTTTCTTTTCATAAGAACACAGGAGAAGCCAGTGTTGCATCAGGCCAATGGCCCATTTAGTCCAACACTCTGTCACACCGTGGACAGAAATACCAGGTGCCATCAGGAGGTCCAGCAGTGGGGCCAGAACTCCAGAAGCCCTCCCAATGTGCCGCCCCCCCAAGCACCAAGAGTACAGAGCATCCCTTGCCCTAGACCAAGAGTTCCTTGTGGCTAATAGCCACTGATGGACCTCTGCTCCATATGCTTGTCCAGTTCCCTCTTATAAGAACATAAGAGAAGCCAATGTTGGATCAGGCCAATGGCCCATCTAGTCCAACACTCGGTCAAGTGGGAGGGCAAAAATACCAGGTGCCCCCAGGAGGTCCAGCAGTGGGGCCAGGACACTAGAAGACCTCCCACTGCTGCCCCCCCCCCCCCCCCCACCCCCCACAACACCACCCTACCTATACCTTGTGGCTAATAGCCACTGATGGACTTCTGCTCCATATGCTTATCTAATTCCCTCCTGAAGCAGTCCATGGTTGTAGCCGCCACCACCTCCTGTGGCAGTGAATTCCATGTATGAATCACTCTTTGGGTGAAGGACTTCCTTTTCTCTGTTCTAACCTGACTGCTCAGCAGTTTCATGGAGTGCCCACAAGGAGTTCTTGTATTGTGGGAAAGGGAGAAGAGTACCTCTTTCTCTACCTGCTCTATCCCATGGATAATCTTATAAACCTCAATCATGTCACCGCTCAGCCGTCGTTTCTCCAAGCTAAAGAGCCCCGAGCGCTTTAACCTTTTTTCATAGAGAAAGTGTTCCAACCCTTTTATCATTCTAGTTGCCCTTTTCTGCACTTTTTCCAAAGCTAAAATATCCTTTTTATGTTGTGGTGACCAGAACTGTACACAGTACTCCAAATGAGGTCGCACCATCGATTTATACAGGGGCATTATGATACTGGCTGATTTCTTTTCAATTCCCTTCCTAATAATCCCCAGCATAGCGTTGGTCTTTTTTATTGTTGCACACTGTCTAGACAAGATGCACAGGAGAAAGCTAACATTGAAAAAACAGTGGGGGGACATTTTAATCTTCCAAGACATTCAGTTGCTGACATAAGAGTAGCAGTTCTCTTACAAAGGAATTCCAAAGGGCAACTGGAAAGAGAGACTGCTGAATTGCAACTGAGAATGAAGCTGAAGACAATGCATCCTCCTGGACTGAATGGAGACCTTGGTTTCCTGTCTCATTACCAACGCCAATTTCTCCATGCCTGCTGCCTCTCTGCATATCACACCTAACCCAATCATGCCTGCTGTTGTCATTCACCTGCTACTGTCAATCAGCATCTGAAAATCACTCCACACTCCAAGATATAAGGACAGATGGACTCCCATTCTAGCCGTATCTGAAGAAGTAAGCAGCGACTCATGAAAGCTCATCCCCTGCCACCAGTTTTGTTAGTCTTGAAGGTGCTCCTGGACTCTTGCTCTTTTCTACTGCCGCAGACCAACATGGCTGCCCATCTAGATCTATCTCCATGGAAGGCACCACATTTAGCCGCACAGAATGGCCGCAATCTTGTGATAGGACAGACGAATTCACATTCTAGCTGTATCTGAAGAAGTGAGCGGTGACTCATGAAAGCTCCTACCCTGCCACCATTTTTGTTAGTCTTGGAGATGCTCCTGGACTTTGGCTCTTTTCTACTACCCCCGGGAAAAGTGTTAGCCTAGTCCTGTTTGCACGGGGAGAGGGTTTGTGGCTCAGTGGAAGAGTATCTGCTAGGCAAGCAGAAGGTCCCAGGTTCAACCCCTGGCATCTTCAGTTAAAAGGAGCAGACAGGAGGTGATTGGAAAGACCTCAGCCTGAGACCCTGGAGAGACATAGACAGTGGTTGTGGCTCAGTGGAAGAGCACCTGCTTGGCAAGCAGAAGGTCCCAGGTTCAATCCCCGGCATCTCCAGTTAAAAGGAGCAGACAGGAGGTGATGGGAAAGCCCTCAGCCTGAGACGCTGGAGAGCTATAAAGAGGGGCCGTGGCTCAATGGAAGAGCCTCTGGTTGGCATGCAGGAGGTACCAGGTTCAATCCCCTGCATCTCCAGTTAAAAGGACTAGGCAGGAGATTATGGGAAAGCCCTCAGCCTGAGACCCTGGCTGAGTGGCAGAGCATCTGCTTGGCATGCAGAAGGTCCCAGGTTCAATCCCCGGCTTCTCCAGTTAAAAGGACTAGGCAGGAGATTATGGGAAAGCCCTCAGCCTGAGACCTTGGAACACCATAGACAGGGGCCGTGGCTTAGTGGAAGAGCATCTGCTTGGCATGCAGGAGGTCCCAGGTTCAATCCCCGGCATCTCCAGTTAAAAGGACCAGGCAGGAGGTGATGGGAAAGACCTCAGCCTGAGACCCTGGGGAGCCGCTGCCAGCCTGAGCAGACAATACTGACCTTGATGGACGAAGGGTCTGATTCAGCGTAAGGCAGCTTCATGGGTTCATTATACTGGCCTTTGCTGTGCAAGAAATCAGCCGGGGGAGGGGAGAGGTGAGGGAAGCCCAAGCAGAAAGACGCAAACAGGCTCTGAGCCACAGTTTGAAGCGGCACATCCCAGGAAGACGCGCTTCACGCCAGCCGGAGGCAAGCATCAGCCAGAGCTAAGAGGCCGACGCCATGCGCATTTTGTACACAGAGCTCCAGCATCCGACACGCAACAGGAGCCCCTTACCTTTCCTCCACCTTGATGGACAGCCGGTTGCAGAGGCGGTGGATGTACCGGGCGTAGTGCTCCACCGCGGGCATGTCGTACGAGGTCATCACGATGTTCAGGGAGCCGTACGTGTGCTCCGTCCCGGGGTCGATCTCCTTCATCTGCAGCCTGTCCCGCCTCTTCTTGGAGACCTGCCGGGAGAAGTCACAGAATCAGAGTCGGGAGGGACCTCCGGGGTCATCTAGTCCAACCCCTCCTGCACAATGCAGGGAATGCACAAATACCTCCTCCACCACCGCCCACAGTGACCCCTGCTTCATGCCCAGAAGAAGGCAAAAAGATCCCCGGGCAAACTGGCCTGGGGGAAAATGGCTTCCTGACCCCAAAGTGGCGACCGGCATTTCCCTGGGCGTGTAAGAAAGGGCCACGAGAACTAAGCACTGAGGCGACCCTTCCTGCCCTCCCTCTCGTGATCTGCCGAAGTTCACAGGAATCAGGCAGCACAGGTGGGATGTGGGCATGTGCCCCAACAGTTCAAATGGCAGCACCACGGAAAGGACAGCCACTATGGTGTAGCACAGGGGTGTCGAACTCATTTGTTACGAGGGCCAGATCTGACATAAATGAGACCTTGTTGGGCCGGGCCATGTGTGTCAAAAAAATGTAATGCCAGGTAGTGGAGATATAAACAAGAGTGGGAGGGCTTCTGGAGTTCTGGCCCCGCCGGTGGACCTCTTGATGGCACCTGGGTTTTGGCCACTGTGTGACACAGAGTGTTGGACTGGAGGGGCCCATTGGCCTGACCGAACACTGGCTTCTCTTAGGTCCTTATTCTCTCTCGCTGTCCCCCCCCCAAAGTATTTTTAATTGCCGCTCATCTCCCCTGTGTTTGGGCTCCCTCTGTGTGTAAGGCTCCACCTCCTCTGGCAGCCATCTTATGGTTCTGCTCGCCGCACTGTGTCAGAATTCCAACGGTGCCCCCGCAGGCTCAAAAAGGTTTGGGAACCCCTGCTGTCGAAGGCCACTAGAGCCGTAACGCCTCCTCCACTGGAGCAATAGGATCCCCCCAGCCCTGCTCCTGGACTTTTAGCGGCACCTTGGCATTCTGAACGCCAATGGGTTAAGCTTTTCCCTGCTGGGCGATCGAGTGATAGGATCAGGGCTATTTTTTTTCAGGAATGCACAGGAATGGAGTTCCAGCTGGCTCCTGAGTTGGCCACACCCAGCAGGAACTCATTAGCATAATAGGCCACACCCAACAGCAGAAACTCATGAGGATTGGCTACATTAGGGGTGTGTGGCCTAACATGCAAAGGAGTTCCTGCTCCAAAAAAAGGCCCTGGGTTTTGACAACAAACAAGGTAAACAGAATAACAAGCAAAAGGTGGGTGTGGCTGGATTACCACACTTCTGGATAACAGCGGGGTGCGGCCTAATGTGGTAATGGGCTGTGCTGTCAGGGTTGTGGCCTAATGTGCTAATGAGTTTCTGCTGTTGGGTGTGGCCTATTATGCTAATGCGTTCCTGCTGGGCTTTTTCTACAAAAAGAGCCCTGGATAGGATCAAAACTTCACCTCCTTGATTTATGCAGGCCAGGCTGTAGTTCAAAGATATAAGAGCAGAGCCACTAGAAACAGGTGACGAGCGTTTTTAGACACCGTGAAGATGAGCATTGGGGGCGGGGGGGGTGCGCTCAACCCCCTCCTCTGCCCAGAGTGAGCCTCTTTCCCCTTCTGCTGGGAGAGAGAGCTCACTTGGCGCCAGGATAGATCCTGCCATTCCCAGAGACATGAAGCTGCCTTCTACTGAATCAGACCGTTGGTCCATCAAGGTCAGTATTGTCTACTCAGACTGGGGGCGGCTCTCCAGGGTCCCAGGCAGAGGTCCTTCACCTCACCTACAGCCTGGTCCTTTTAGCTGGAGACGCCGGGGACTGAACCTGGGACCTTCTGCATGTCAAGCAGAGACTCTACCACTGAGCTACAGACCCTCCCCATGAACCTGCCTTCTACAGAATCAGACTTTTGGTCCATCAAGATCAGAATTGTCTACTCAGACTGGCAGCAGCTCTCAAGGGTCTCAGGCAGAGGTCCTTCACATCACCTACTACCTGGTCCTTCTAACCGGAGATGCCGTGGATTAAACCTGGGACCTGCGTGCTAAGCAGGTACTCTTCCAGTGAGCCATGGCCCCTCTCCACAGCTCTTCAGGATATCCAGCTGAGGTCTTTCACATCACCTACTACCTGGTCCTTAACTGGAAATGCCGGGGATTGAACCTGGGACCTTCTGCATGCCAAGCAGAGGTTCTTCCACTGAGCCACATCCCCACTTTACAGCTCTCTGGGGTCTCAGGTAGAGGTCTTTCCCATCACCTCCTGCCTGGTCCTTAACTGGAGATGCCGGGGATTGAACCTGGGACCTTCTGCATGCCAAGCCGATGCTCTACTGGTGAACCACAGACCCTCCCCAAACTTTATGACGCACACCTAATAGACAATACTGAGCCTGATAGACCAAGGGTCTCAATATAGGGCAGTTTCGTGTGTTCCCATGACCCTCTTTCCTGGCACGCCCACCCGCCGAACCTCTCTGCCCTGTTTCCACAACACAAAAATACCTGCCTCCTCAGTAAGCTAACCACTCCCTGATGGGATTGCCGGATCGCTTCCAGGCTGTAACTCGGCTCACCCTGCCGTACCACCCAGACCCTAACAGGATTCGCACTCGAGAGGATTTTTGAAATGGGGGTGGTGGTGGTGGATAAAAGGCCTTACCACAATTAAAAGTCCTTTTCTGTGGTGAAGACCCTGACAAGTTAGGACAAATGGCTTCTATTTTAACTTCTGCCTTCTAGGCACCCTGCCCGGATGAATTATTGGTTCATTGTCTTCCCAAATTACAAGAGGCCCCCCCCTTTTTCATTATCCTACATCCCTGCAGAGTTTCAGAGTCGCTCCTTCTGGGCCTCAGCTCAGCGGCTCGGGGTTCAGCTGGAATATCATTTAACCATTTGGACCACAGCTGAAAGAACTGCAGGGTTGTCCAAACAGCAAAAAGAAAAGGTTGTGGAACAGAGAAGGGGGAAAAAAACAGCAGACAGCTTGTAGGGGCAGGACTTGAACTCAAGACTATCCAATCTTGTCAGTGCCCCTAAAACAGGGGCCCCCAATCTTTCTGAGCCTGCAGGCACCTTTGGAATTCTGACACAGCATGGTGAGTGCAGCCACAAAATAGCTGTCATGGGAGGCAGAGCCAGCCACAAAATGGCTGGTGCGGGAGCTGGAGCCAGCCACAAAATGGCCAGTGCAAGAGGCGGAGCCAGCCACAAAATGGCCGGTGCAAGAGGCGGAGCCAACCTCAAAATGGCTGCCATGGGAGGCAGAGCCAGCCACAAAATGGCTGCTGCGGGAGGTGGAGCCAGCCACAAAATGGCCGTTGCGAGAGGTGGAGCCAGCCACAAAATGGCTGCCATGGGAGGCGGAGCCAACCACAAAATGGCTGGTGCGAGAGGCAGAGCCAGCCGCAAAATGGCTGCCCCAGCTGTCCTTCAGTCACACAGTGAAAATCCTTGTGCTGTGGTGGCAGCTACCGCCAAAGCAAAGCTTTTAGAAAGCTGCACAACCAATCAAATCTCCAGCGACCAATCAGAAGCCTCGATGGCCAGGAGCCCCACCTGGACCTGCCCACTTTCTAGAAACACGTGGGAGGCCCAGGAAAGGTATTGGTGAGGTGCCAGAAGGGTGGACCCGTCCCTCTTGCGGTTCAGTGAGGCAGCCCTGCTAAGAGACCATTCCAGAAAGCAAATGGAACTTTAGATCAATCCTGCAGCAAGGCCTTCTCGGCGGTCGGAACACAGACCTCCGGAACTCTGAGCCCAAGGCGGGAAGACTGAAAGAATCCCAACAGGCCGTTTCCAGCTGAGAGGTTCTCTGGTTTCGATTATTTATTTATTTATTTATTATTTATATTTTTATCCCGCCCTCCCCGTAGGCTCAGATTAGTTAGTATCAAATTCCTTATGCTGTGCCGCTCTACCTTCAGTCTCTGGAAATATACTATTAATGCACTGGAGACGCTTACCTCCGGTAAGAGATGTCTGAACCGGCCGATGCCATGGGTAGGACGAGACCTGTGTTGCCTGACGCAATTCAGCAGAGGGCTACCTGCAGGAAACGGAACAGAGTAACAGACCCGAACACACCTGAAACGGCCTGATACTGAAATGAACCCCTCGGTCCATCAAAGTCAGTCTTGTCTATGCAGCCTAGCACTGGCTCCCCAGGATCTCAGGCTGAGGTCTTTCCCATCACCTCCTGCCTGGTCCTTTTAAATGGAGATGCCTGGGATTGAACCTGGGACCTTCCGTGTGCCAAGCAGAGGCTCTTCCACTGAGCCACAGTCCCTGTCTATGTCTCTCCAGGGTCTCAGGCGGAGGTCTTTCACGTCACCTCCTGCCTGGTCCTTTTAAATGGAGATGCCTGGGATTGAACCTGGGACCTTCCGTGTGCCAAGCAGAGGCTCTTCCACTGAGCCACAGTCCCTGTCTATGTCTCTCCAGGGTCTCAGGCGGAGGTCTTTCACGTCACCTCCTGCCTGGTCCTTTGAACTGGAGATGCCGGGGACTGAACCCAGGACCTTCCGCGTGCCAAGCAGAGGCTCTGCCACCAAGCCACGGCCCCTGTCTATGTCTCTCCAGGGTCTCAGCTAGATGTCTTTCACATCACCTACTGCCTGTTCTTTTAAACTGGAGATGCCAGGGACTGAACCTGGGACCTTCTGCAGGCCAAGCAGAGGCTCTACCACTGAGCCACGGCCCCTCTTTACAGCTCTCCAGGGTCTCAGGCAGAGGTCTTTCCCTTCACCTACTGCCTGGTCCTTTTAACTGGAGATGCTGGGGATTGAACCTCGGACCTTCTGCATGCCAAGCAGAGGCGCTGCCACTGAGACCCAAACCCTCTCCACGGCTCTCCAGGGTCTCAGGCGGAGGTCTTCCACATCATGTCCTGCCTGGCCCTTTCAAATGGAGACACCAGGGATCGAGCCAGGGACCTTGTGTGCCAAGCAGATGTTCTACCACTGAGCCACGGTCCCTCCCCAATACGTGAAGTTGCCTTTATATACATCTTTATATTTGTTCTGTTTTATCTGTTTTAAATTTTTATGTAAGCCACCCTGAGGCCTGAACTTACATCAGCGGGGAGGGCAGGGTATAAAGCAAATAAATAAATAAATAAATTTATACTGATACATAGAATCATAGAATGTTAGAGTTGGAAGGGACCTTGCAGGTCATCTAGTCCAACCCCCTGCACTCTGCAGGAGGATTCAAACCCTTGGTCCATCAAAGTCAGTACTCTCTACGCATACTGGGAAGTGGCTCTCCAGGGACTCAGGTGGAGGTCTTTCACATCACCAGCCAGTTTGGTGTAGTGCTTAAGTGCGCGGACTCTAAATCTGGGAGAACCGGGTTTGATTCCCCACTTCTCCACTTGCAGCTGCTAGATGACCTTGGGCAAACCACAGTTCTCTCAGAGCTGTTCTCCCAAGGACAGTTCTGGAAAGAGCTCTCTCAGCCCCACCTACCTCACAGGGTGTCTGTTGTGGGGAGGGGAAGGGAAAGGAGTTTGTAAGCTGCTCTGAGACTCCGAGTGAAGGGCGGGGTATGAATCCAATCTCTTCTTCTAAATGTATGAAGATTGTCAGAGTGTGGTTTCCCCTCGCTACTTTTTAAACTGAACTGAATGTATGAAAGTTGATGTGTGGAACATTTTCTCAATGTTTTGGGCCTTGTTGTGTCATTAAAAAAAATGTCCTTACCAACAGAGCAGACAGGATTTCTTCTGGATGTTTCAAAGGCAAGACTAGAGGGGGAGAGATAAAGCTCCATATTACAATCTGTTGTTACCTCTGCCTATGGAACATTTTAATGCATTCTGGAGGCCTATCAATGATAACAGTGTCCTTTTAACAAGGAGATCCTTTTCTTCATCTCCCCCCCCCCCCATAGTACAGAGTGGAGATGTTGGGGTCAAGCAAAAAACTGCCCAAGTGAGAGAGTCCCAACAGATCTGCTCAACAGAACACCTTTGGAGATATAACAACCTGAAAAGAGCCCTGCTGTATCAAACCAGTGAGGATCCATCTAGTCCAGCCTCCTGTCTCACACAGGGGCCGACCAGTTCCTCTGGAGGGCCAACAGCAGGGCATAGAGGCCGAGGCCTTCCCCTGATAAGAACGTCAGAAGAGCCCTGCTGGATCAGACCAGTGAGGGTCCATCTAGTCCAGCCTCCTGTCTCACACAGGGGCCGACCAGTTCCTCTGGAGGGCCAACAGCAGGGCATAGAGGCCGAGGCCTTCCCCTGATAAGAACGTCAGAAGAGCCCTGCTGGATCAGACCAGTGAGGGTCCATCTAGTCCAGCCTCCTGTCTCACACAGGGGCCGACCAGTTCCTCTGGAGGGCCAACAGCAGGGCATAGAGGCCGAGGCCTTCCCCTGATAAGAACGTCAGAAGAGCCCTGCTGGATCAGACCAGTGAGGGTCCATCTAGTCCAGCCTCCTGTCTCACACAGGGGCCGACCAGTTCCTCTGGAGGGCCAACAGCAGGGCATAGAGGCCGAGGCCTTCCCCTGATAAGAACGTCAGAAGAGCCCTGCTGGATCAGACCAGTGAGGGTCCATCTAGTCCAGCCTCCTGTCTCACACAGGGGCCGACCAGTTCCTCTGGAGGGCCAACAGCAGGGCATAGAGGCCGAGGCCTTCCCCTGATAAGAACGTCAGAAGAGCCCTGCTGGATCAGACCAGTGAGGGTCCATCTAGTCCAGCCTCCTGTCTCACACAGGGGCCGACCAGTTCCTCTGGAGGGCCAACAACAGGGCAGAGAGGCCGAGGCATAGGGACATAGGAAGAGCCCTGCTGGATCAGACAGGAGACTGGACTAGGTGGACCCTCACTGGTCTGACCATGCAGGGCTCTTCTGAGGTTCTTCTCAGGAGAAGGCCTTGGCCTCTCTGCCCTGTTGTTGGCCCTCCAGAGGAACTGGTTGGCCGCTGTGTGAGACAGGATGCTGGACTAGGAGGACCACTACTCTGATCCAGCAGGGCTCTTCCTATGTCCCTATGCCTCGGCCTCTCTGCCCTGTTGTTGGCCCTCCAGAGGAACTGGTTGGCCGCTGTGTGAGACAGGATGCTGGACTAGGAGGACCACTACTCTGATCTATCAGGGCTCTTCTTATGTTCTTAAGATAATTTTTTTTAAAGTGGCATCTCACTGAGAAAACTGGACTTATGGCCAGGAAAACGAGAAAAGGAGACCACTGTTTCTCTCTTACCAGGATCCGTTGGAGGGCTGTACAATAAAGCATCAAAAAAAAAAGGGCTGGAAAGTCCGTCTCACTGACAACTGGGCCCTGATCTACGTGTATTTGGATTGCTAACGCTGCCCCTACTGCTGTGCAAACCAACACCTTCAGGACAACAGACATAGGATGCCAGATTGATGTGGTTAATACTCCAGTTGTTTTACCTGACAAGTCGTCTGGCCAGCATCTCTTTCAGAACGGGCTCCCTTCCCAGGCAGAACAACTAGTATAGGGGAGAGAGAAAACATTACAAAAATTACCCAGTCTTTTCAAGGCAACGGGCTGCTCTCAGGCAATTCATCTTCGCCCGCACTGCCTGCATCAAGGGCTGTATGTCTCCAGGCCACCAGCAAACATCTCAAAAAGTTATTAGAAGCCCCACAGCCTGGCTTTCTCGGGAGAAAGGCAGGGAGACGGATGACTGCAATTTCTCTCGTGCACACTCCATCACTCGTCCGTGTGCATTCCAGCAAAGTAATGTGCGGGGAGAGAAAAATGCACGCTAAGTTCGTTCTCGCACGCTCGTCTTCAGCTCAGAGGGATGCACAGAAACACCCTCAAGTCAAGTGGGAAGCCCAACCCCCCTTGCTTTTGAGACTCAAAGAGTACACAAGTAGACTGGAAAGGAATGTTAACACGGAGCAATTAAAAAATGATCGGGACAGCGAAACAGTGAAATGATTCAGCGTTAAAACATCAAGACGTTAAGATGGGATTCGGAATGTATGTGTACATAAAATATTTTTTAAATTCAGTAAATCTCCCAACGGCACAATCGGGGAGGAAGGTAAGTAACAGTTAGCCAGGGAACGCCAAATACAACAAAACAGTCTTCACCCGCTGTAAACCAGGTATTACCTATGAATACCGTTACACAGTTGGAAATGACTGCTTCTGAATGGGCTTTATTAGGAAGGGAATTGAAAACAAATCCGCCGGTATCACAATGCCCCTGTACAAATCGATGGTGCGACCTCATTTGAAGTACTGTGTACAGTTCTGGTCACCACACCTCAGAAAGGATATTATAGCACTGGGAAAAGTGCAGAAAAGGGCAACTAGAACGATAAAAGGGTTGGAACACTTTCCCTTTGAAGAACGGTTAAAGCGCTTGGGGCTCCTTAGCTTGAAGAAACGACGACTGAGGGGTGACATGATCGAGGTTTATAAGATGATGCATGGGGTAGAGCAGGTAGAGAAAGAGGTACTTTCCCCTCTTTCTCACAATACAAGAACTCGTGCGCTCTCCATGAAATTGCTGAGCAGTCGGGTTAGAACGGATAGAAGGAAGTACTTCTTCACCCAAAGAGTGATTAACACATGGAATTCACTGCCACAGGAGGTGGTGGCAGCTACAAGCATGGACACTTCAAGAGGGAATCGGATAAATATATGGAGCAGAAGTCCATCAGTGGCTATTAGCCAGAAGGTATAGAAAGGAACTCTCAGTCTGAGGGCAAGTGATGCTCTGTATTCTTGGTGCTTGGGGGGGTCCTGGCCCCACTCCTGGACCTCCTGATGGCACCTGGTATTTTTGGCCACTGTGTGACAGAGTGTTGGACTAGATGGGCCATTGGCCTGATCTGACACTGGCTTCTCTTATGTTCTTATTAGATAGGAACTCTCGGTCTGGAGAAAGGATGCTGTGTATTCTTGGTGCTGGGGGGGGGGCAACAGTGGGAGGGCTCCTAGTGCCCTGGCCCCACTGGTGGACCTCCTGATGGCACCTGGTATTTTTGGCCAACTGTGTGACAGAGTGTTGGACTGGATGGGCCATTGGTCTGATCCAACATTGGCTTCTCTTATGTTCTTACGTTCTTATATGGAGCAGAGATCCAGGTATAGATAGGAACTCTGGGGCAAGGGATGCTCTGTCATCTTGGTGCTTGGGGGGGTCAACAGTGGGAGGGCTTCTAGTGTCCTGGCCCCACTGGTGGACCTCCTGATGGCACCTGGTATTTTTGGCCACTGTGTGACAGAGTGTTGGACTGGATGGGCCATTGGCCTGATCCAACATTGGCTCCTCTTATGTTCTTATGTGAGCAGCATTAGCATATACACACCTCAGTGACAACAAAAAGTATAGGAAAGCAGCAAACATTCTCTGGGACGTACGCAAAATGTAAAACCCAGCCTCTCCCCATTCCCACTATTAGATGAACTTTTCAAAGGCGCAAAAAACACATGAATCTGCTTTCTATGGAACCAGACATCTCTCTAATTTTGCTTTATCTGCTCTGACCACCAGCACCTCTCCCCAGACTCAGGACCTATAACTGAGGGAGCATTAACTAGAGATACCAGTACGTGCCTTAAAGCAGAAGTAATATTCCAACGGCTGCAGTGGCTCAAGTGGTGAAGACACTGAACTGCAGACTGGAAGGTTGGTAGCTCGCCAGTTCGAGACCCGAGTGCCGCGTGATGGAGTGAGCTCTCGTCTCTGGCCCCAGCTCCTGCCAACCTAGCAGTTTGGAAGCAAGAAATTGCACATTGATAAATAGATACCGCTTTGGTAGGAAGGTAACAGCATTCCGTGAGCCTCGGCATTTAGTCACGCCGGCCCCATGACCACAGAAATGTCTTTGGACAGCGCTGGCTCTTCAGCTTGGAAACGGAGATAAGCACCGCATCCCTAGAGTCGGATTCGACTGGCTTTCGAGCAAGGGAAACCTTTACCTTTACCTAATATTCCAACGGGGGGGGGGGAGGATTCTAAACTATGCAGGTTAAGTTGTCTTGTCCAGTTTGATGTAGTGGTTAAGTGCGCGGACTCTAATCTGGGAGAACCGCGTTTGATTCCCCACTCCTCCACTTGCAGCTGCTGGATGACCTTCGGCAAGCCATAGATCTGTCAGAGCTGTTCTCTCAAGGACAGTTCTTGAAAGAGCTCTCTCAGTCCCACCTCCCTCACAGGGTGTCTGTTGTGGGGAGGGGAAGGAGAAGGAGTTTGTAAGCTGCTCTGAGACTACAGGTGAAGGGCTGGGTATAAATCCAACCTCTTCTTCTTCAGCCAGTTTGGTGCAGTGGTTAAGTGTGTGGACTCTAATCTGGGGGAACCGGGTTTGATTCCCCACTCCTCCACTTGCACCTGCTGATGTGACCTTGGGTCAGTCACAAGCTCTGGCACAGCTGTACTTGAAAAAGAGCAGTTTGTGTCAGAGTTCTCTCAGCCCCACCCACCTCACAGGGTGTCTGTCTGTTGTGGGGAGGGGAAGGGAAAGGAGTTTGTAAGCTGCTCTGAGACTACAAGTGAAGGGCGGGGGATAAATCCAATCTCCTCCTCCTCCTCCTCCTCTTCCTCTTCTTCTTCTTCCTCTTCTTCTTCTTCCTCTTCTTCTTCTTCCTCTTCTTCCTCTTCTTCTTCTTCTTCTTCTTCTTCTTCTTCTTCTTCTTCATCAGACCCTCGGTCCATCAAAGTCAGTATTGTCCACTCAGACTGGCAGCGGCTCGCCAGGGTTTCAGTCTTTCACATCACCTTCCATCTGTTCCTTTTAGCCGGAGATGCCGGGGATCGAACCTGGAAACTTCTGCCTGCAAAGAAGAGGCTCTGCCACTGAGCCACGCCCCCTCTTTACAGCTCTGCAGTCTCAGGCAGAGGTCTTTCACATCACCTCAGAGCCCCTCCCCAAATGACGCACACCTGAAGCTGCCTTATACCACCTCCAACCCTCGATCCGTCTTGACCAAAGAGCGGCAGTGGCTACCCAGGGTCTCAGTCAGAGATCTTCCACATCATCTACCACCTGATCATTTTAGCGAGAGATGCCGTGGATTGAACCAGGGACATCTGCACGCAAAGCGGAGGCTTTCCCACTGATCCACAGCCCCTCCGGTAGCAACGGAACTAATTACAGACTTGTAGAAAAGCACATGGCTTCCTTCCAAACTCGGTGTCTTCGTGTAAGCCCATTCAGAACATCCAGAGCCCTTCGTTTATTTATGTGAAAGGTAATGCATTCCACCCCCTCAAAAAAAAAAGTTTGTTCACACTCAGGCTGACAAAAAGTACAGCAGGGTAAAATATTAATTACAGCAGTGTAATAAATTAATTACAACCCTAGAAGCAACCCTGTAATTATACAATAAAGTCAGCAATGATAAAAAGGGAAAGAAATCTAAGAGGCCTCGGCCTCTCTGCCCTGTTGTTGGCCCTCCAGAGGAACTGGTTGGCCCCTGTGTGAGACGGGATGCTGGACTAGATGGACCCTCACTGGTCTGACCCAGTAGGGCTCTTCTGAGGTTCTTGTCAGAGGAAGGCCTCGGCCTCTCTGCCCTGTTGTTGGCCCTCCAGAGGAACTGGCTGGCCCCTGTGTGAGACAGGATGCTGGACTAGATGGACCCTCACTGGTCTGACCCAGCAGGGCTCTTCCTATGTTCTCATCAGGGGAAGGCCTCGGCCTCTCTGCCCTGTTCTTGGCCCTCCAGAGGAACTGGGTGGCCCCTATGTGAGGCAGGAGGCTGGACTAGATGGACCCTCCCTGGTCTGATCCAGCAGGGCTCTTCTGAGGTTCTTCTCAGGGGAAGGCCTCGACCTCTCTGCCCTGTGGTTGGCCCTCCAGAGGAACTGGTTGGCCTCTGTGTGAGACGGGATGCTGGGCCAGAAGGACCCTCACTGGTCTGATCCAGCAGGGCTCTTCTGAGGTTCTTGTCAGGGGAAGGCCTCAGCCTCTCTGCCCTGTTCTTGGCCCTCCAGAGGAACTGGTTGGCCACTGTCTGAGACGGGAGGCTGGACTAGATGAACCCTCACTGGTCTGATCCAACAGGGGTCTTCTGAGGTTCTTATCAGGGGAAGGCCTCAGCCTCTCTGCCCTGTTCTTGGCCCTCCAGGTTGGCCACTGTCTGAGACGGGACGCTGGACTAGATGAACCCTCACTGGTCTGATCCAGCAGGGCTCTTCTTAGGTTCTTATCAGGGGAAGGCCTCAGCCTCTCTGCCCTGTTCTTGGCCCTCCAGAGGAACTGGTTGGCCACTGTCTGAGACGGGAGGCTGGACTAGATGAACCCTCACTGGTCTGATCCAGCAGGGCTCTTCTTAGGTTCTTATCAGGGGAAGGCCTCAGCCTCTCTGCCCTGTTCTTGGCCCTCCAGAGGAACTGGTTGGCCCCTGTGTGAGACGGGATGCTGGACTAGATGGACCCTCACTGGTCTGGTCCAGCAGGGTTCTTCTTATGTTCTTACCGAGGAAGGCCTCGGTCTCTCCAACCTGTTGTTGCCCCTC